GGGTCATGAGTCTCACAAACATATAACATATAAAATGACATTCCCAACCAGTTGATGTATGTCAACAAAGTCATGTTTGACCCAAAACCAGAGCTCATTCCTACATATCTTCCCACTAAGCCCATAGCACTGTTAGGCTTTATGCACATGACTATTCCTAAGCTGATGTTTTTGGGGCTTTTGACATTTTCTGCCTAAGTTGCTGAATGCACCTCAATAAAGGCCTACAGTATGTGTCCATCCACACATAGGCTTTTAGAGGTGTTTAGGAGCAGCATTGTTTAGAGGCAGTAAAAGCTCTTTCCCCTGAGCAAAGAAGAATCACACCCAGGAGAGGAGCTTTTAGGCATAAAAAATGCCAAACATGGCTAAACATTCCAAAGCGATAGGCACCATTAATTTCAATGTCCAGAATAAATTAAAATTTTGAATAATTAAATAAAAACACCCCAAATGTTCCTACACATGTCTGAACGTGCCTTAATGCATTTGAAAAAACAAGGCTTAATTCTCCTTTTAGGAGAAACATCATTTACAATAAAACAGTACACATGAGACCTTATTGTTAAGAAGAATTGGGAGAGCCTACACAGTTTGCCAAGTATTTGGAGGCATTTAATTCCCATTGCTTGCACTTGAGGGCATTGTAAGATCCCACACGCATAAGAATGGGGATACATGCAATCAGCTGGGGGGTGTGCTTGGTGGGTAAAGAGAGGTGCATTTCTAAAAATTCAAATAACTGCTCTTTTTGAGCCCTTTTGGAAATAATACAAAATACAGTTCATTGTACATTTTAGAAAACCTTGCTGAGGACAAAAGAGAAAATAAAACCTTAAACAGGTCATTGATTGAAACTACTCAAATAAGAATGGACAGGGTTATGTGGAATTTTCATTTTAAAAGTAGTTTTCAAGTGAAAGACGGAGATGAAAGGAGCAATTTCTTCATTTTGATAAAAGCTCGGCACGTAACTGACAAATGTTTGTTTTAAACATTACTATATTTACCCAAGGTAGAAAATGACATAGTTAAAATGTTTACAAATACTCTTATTGCACCTTTAAAGGCAAATTCTTGGCAGTAAATTGGCTTCTGTGCTTTTTTTTTTTTTTTTTTTTTATTGGACAACTGTAAGCATTTTTTAAATATACATTCGGTGGCTTATTTGATTTCCTTTTTGATTTCTTTCTCTGTTATACTGCCTCACCATTTATGACTGCATTATATAAAATGATGACAAGCAATAAAAGAAGTAGCAGAGTAGTGTACTGTTTGCATTTTTTATAGTATGTGTTCCACAAAACTGAATAAATTAGTAGAGATGAGATGAGTGAACTTAGCAAAGTTCAGTTAGCTGGATGTTCGCCAAACCCAGCAGGTAATCCACGAACCCTGAGCATACGCCAAAACCCCTAATGAAGTCTAATAGAACAAACTTTGTCATTTGTTTCTGCCCTTTTTTAAGGTTAATGTGCAAGCTTGGGTAGCTGGGCACTGCCATGGTGGATGAACCAATGCAGAATGTTTTTTTTTTAAATACCATTCAATGGGGAGTTGGTCTTTTAATGCAGCTTAAAGAGCAATACTAAAAAATTTACAAATATTTTAAATAATATGCTTATCAATATTTTACTTTCTGCTATAAGACCTATTCAATGAAAGAAAAACAAATGTCTTCATAAATTTAGGCCAAAATGTATTCTGCTACGTGTCTTTGGTGAAAAAAAAAATCCCAATAAGTGGATGTAAATTGCTTTGTGGGAAAGTTAGAGCATCTACAATATATATATATATATATATATATATATACACTGTAATTTTTTTTTATTTTTATCATGGCGTCAATCAACGACTTATATTGGGACTGTGATAGTGTGGCAGGCAATTTGACACTAACTGACACTTTGTGGAAACTGACTAACTTCCACTGACATCTCAAGTGACACTAATACAGTGATCCATGCTAATAATATACACTGTCAATGTACTAATGACACTATCTGGGAAGGATTTATCATCTAGGTAATCAAGGGGTTAACTGTGTGCCTAACAATGTGCAATTTGTGTAATATGTGCTGCTTTTTACAACAGATTTTATTTGTTTTGTTTCCCTGCTTTGGGGAAAAGAAACAAAGCGATTTTTTCCTCTGTATAGAGCCCTGTGTTTGTTCGTCCAAACAAGGCTTCTAAGGGGAACTCCACCCCCAAAAAAGGGGTGTGTGTGTGTGTGGGGTCCCCCCTAAATTCCTACTAGACCCTTGATATGAGCACAGGCCTGGCAGGCCTTAGCAGTACCACGCCACATGCCCCAACATGGAGGGGTGCTTTTGGGTAGGGGGGGCCCCCCAAAGCACCTTGTCCCTATGTTGATGGGAACAAGGGCCTCTTCCCCACAGCCCTGGGCTTTGGTTGTGGGGGTCTGCGGGGAGGGTGACTTATCGGAATCTGGAAGCCCCCTTTAACAAGGGGGTCCACAGATCCTGCCCCCCTTGTGAATGAGTATAGAGTATATAGTACCCCTACCCATTCATAAAAAAAGTATAAACACAACAGTTTTTGACAAGTCCTTTATTAAAAAAAAAAAAAAGCTAAAAAATGGTTCCATCATTGTATTCCATCCTCAATGACGGCATTCAGCTTTGTCACGATGATGCCGACTCACCAAAATAAGAAAAACCCTCCACCCGCATGTGCCGAGCATTTGCCGCTATCTGACATTTGCCAGTCACATGTAAACAATTGGGTGGAGCTAGCGATGTCACCGAACACACAAACGGCCATCTTCGAGCTGAACTTACATTCGACTTGAACATCAAGGACATCACTAGTGAAGACATCATCATTGTGCTTCTTTTTCTTTGGAGTATACTAAGCTGTGTGTATGGAGAAGTGACGGGCACCAAGCCAGGACCTGATTGCAACATGTGAGGGGAGTGCCTGGAGGGTTGGAGAAGTGTACTGTAACAGAAGGCAGTTTGTTCATGGAAAGCCTGGAGAGTGAAGCATTATTTTCACAAGCATCCTCACTTGGGCATTTTTAATAACCTTTGCAGAATATATACAGACTTCCACTTTGCAGCACTGCTGCTCTGACCTCAATCTTTAGGTCTCCTCTCAATTCCTCCACATGCAAAGCACTGTGCACAGATTCACTCCCTGTCAGGAAGGCTGGGGGTGTTCCTGCTGGAGACATAATTCCTTTTGAAAGGGATTCCTTGCCCAGGAACCGGGAAAGTCGGGACAGCTACAAGAGAGGTTCTGGGACACTGAGGAAGCTGAGGTTGCTAGTGAGTCCAGGGGGCTGAAGAGAGTCCATAAGTCTCTGGAAGAGTGAGAAAGCTTGACGGGGCTGAAGAAACCTATTTAACCCCTTCACGCCTAAGGGTAAAACAAATCTTAATGCCTAAGCACAATTTTGCAACGTTGACGTCTTAGTAAAACCGTACATATCATCACAATTACTTTGTATATCCAGGTAAATTATACCTTGTTTTTTTCAGGATACATTGGGCTTTTATTTGGTGGTAAATGGTAATGGATATCTCCTGTTTTTGTTTTATTATCAAAGGAAAACTGGCCCAGAATAGTATAAAAAAAAAAAATCATTTTTTTTTATTTAGCTGTTATTTTCTTGTTACTATCATAGCCTACCACCAAAAAACAACCCAAAATACATTTTCCAGCTCTTGACGATCCCAGCGATCCCATATATGTATGTTATTTGTTGTTGTTTGTACCCGTAGTACAGCCCAGAAACAATAGTGTGCATTTTGGGGGTTTTTTTTTTGGTTTTTACCTAAAACATACTGATACTGACACTAACTGACACTAATACCAATTTGAAAAAAAAAATCCTGACTTTTTGACCTTGCGCTTTGCCCCTGACCTTGACCCAAACACTTACCCTGACAGTGAACTAGATCAAACCTTAATCTAGGTATTTTTTCATTATTTTTTTAAATATGTATTTCTTTATTTTTTAAATATTTATTTATTTATTACATTTTTTCCCCCTCTATGCCAGGAGTTAGAGAGATACAATGTATCTCCCTCCTCCATTCATAGAGAGGAAAAAAAACAGGGGGCCAGGCTGTACAGTGACTGACACTGTGATAGCCAATCAGAGGCTATCACAGTGATCATGTGACCTGGAATCGGGAGTCCCGGGTCCCGATCATTAGAACAGGACCCGGGGCTCTCAGTGAAACCCTGGTCTGTGTGCTGGGAGCGCTCTGTGCGGCGCACTCCCTGCACAAAGACAGGTACGCAAATATGCGTCCCCACAGAAAAAAGCCCAGTTCTGTGAGGCCGCATATTTTTGTGTGACTTCGGGGTCAAGGGATTAAAGACCAGGAGTGAGCATGTGCAGTGAGCTGCTGCAACAAAGGCTAAGTGAGCCTGAAGAACCTGTGGTCTGGTAATACAGTACTAGTAGACAGAAGAGCCAGATGGCTCGATATTATCATGGATCTGTTGTTTTGCTGAATCTGGAAAATACCTTGCACAGGAATCTATCTTGGAACTTTTCTTTTGGGTTTGCCTAATAAAAGTGGGTTGTCATGCTCTTTTTAAAAAATATGTAAAAAACTTTTTGTGCCGCTACTAAAAAAGATGGGACTATTGGGACAGCAGCACACACCTGGCTATACCACTAGCAAAGAACATCAAACAGAAAATTGATGTTGCGCTAATCACAATAATGCCACAGACATTCCAAAACAAATAATGAGATGAGAAGACAATAGATAATACACCATAACATAATCAGTAAAGGGAAGGAATATGGAAGTGAAGGGAAAGGTTAAGTAATAAAGGTCCAAAATGAGGACCAAAGGTGTAACAGACAATAAACCATGACCTTGGGCAAAACGCATGGAAATGATCAGGGAAAGATAAAATATTAACTAAATCACAGTATCAGTGGGACATATGAGTCCGTCATAAAACATAAATGAAATAACGTGAATGCAACTAATGAGAAAGTGGAACAAAATGTGAAAAATTCAAAATGAAGTGCTAAAGAGATTTGTCCTCATGTTCACAGTTCTCCATCCAAGCTCAATACTGTTTACTGTCTCCAGTCTGCAAGTGTTGAAGAAAATGCGTGTTGCTGGGCTGTGCAGGACTATAGGGGGACCCAAAACTCAGCGACTCCTAAGGGGGTAGTGATATATAAATATATATATATATATATATATATATATATATCTGTATATATATATATCTACCCCCTTAGGAGTCGCTGAGTTTTGGGTCCCCCTATAGTCCTGCACAGTATACTGTATATAAATATATATATATATATATATATATATATATATATATAGATATATAGATAGATAGACATAGATAGACAAAGATAGATATACACACACTATATTGCCAAAAGTATTGGGACACCCCTTCAAATCATTGGAGTCAGGTGTTCCAATCACCTCCATTGGCACAGGTGTATAAAATCAAGAACCTAGGCATGCAGACTGCTTCTACAAACATTTGGGAAAAAAAGGGTTCTCAGGAGCTCAGCGAATTCAAGCGTGGTACCGTGATAGGTTGACATCTGTGCAATAGGTCCATCCGTGAAAGTTCCTTGCTACTAAATATTCCAGAATTAACTGTTAGTGGTATTATAACATAGTGGAAGCAACTGGAAACAACAACAACTCAGCCACGAAGTGGTAGGCCATGTAAAATGACAGAGCGGGGTCAATGCATGCTGAAGCACACAGTGCACAGAATTCGCCAACTGTCTGCAGAGTCAATAGCTAAAGACCTCCAAACTACATGTGGTCTTCAGATTAGCACAGCAACAGTGCATAGAGAGCTTCATTGAATGGGTTTCCATGATTGAGCAGCTGCATCCAAGCCTTACATCACCAAGTGCAATGCAAAGTGTTGGATGCAGTGGTGTAAAGCACACCGCCACTGGACTCTAGAGCAGTAGAGACATGTCCTCTGGAGTGACGAATCATGCTTCTCTGTCTGGCAACCTGATAGACGTGTCTGGGTTTGACAGTTGCTAGGAGAATGATACTTGCTGGACTGCATTGTGCCAAGTGTAAAGTTTGGTGGAGGGGGGATTATGGTGTGGGGTTGTTTTTCAGGGATTGGCATTGGCCCCTTAATTCCAGTGAAGGGAAATTTTAAGGCATCAGCATAACAAGACATTTTGGACAATTTCATGCTCCCAACTTTGTGGGAACAGTTTGGGGATGGCCCCTTCCTGTTCCACCATGACTGCGCACCAGTGAACAAAGCAAGGTCCATAAAGACATGGATGAGCAAGCTTGGGGTGGAGGAACTTGACTGGCCGATAGAACACCTTTGGGATGAATTAGAGCGGAGACTGCGAGCCAGGCCTTCTCATCCGACATCATTGCCTGACCTCACAAATGCACTTCTTGAAGAATGGTCAAACATTCCCATAGACTCTCCTAAACCTTGTGGACAGCCTTCCCAGAAGATTTGAAGCTGTTATAGCTGCAAACGGTGGGCCAACTCAATATTGAACCCTATATACACTATGTTGCCAAACGTATTCGGGCATCTACCTTTACACGCACATGGACTTTAATAGCATCTAAGTCTGTAGGGTTCAATATTGAGTGATACTAAAGGTTGTTTTTTTCTTTTTTGTAAAATAACAAACATGTTATACTTATCTGCTGTGTGCAGTGGTTTTGCACAAAGCAGCCTGGATCCTCCTCTTCTCTTGGCTCAGGGCTCAGGTAAGAATTGAGGGGGCTGGGGGCACAGCTGCACACAGAAGAGTTTTTACCTTCATGCATAGAATGCATGGAAGGTAAAAAACCTTGAGCCTTTACAACCGCTTTAAGTGACTTTGAACATGGCATGGTTGTTGGTGCCAGACAGGCTGGTCTGAGTATTTAAAAAACTGTTGATCAATCGGGATTTTCACGCACAACCATCTCTAGGGTTTACAAAGAATGGTCCGAAAAAGAGAAAATATTCAGTGAGCGGCAGTTGTATAAACAAAAATGCCTTGTTGATGTCAGAAGTCAGAGGAGATTGGGCAAAATGGTTTGAGATTATAGAACGGCAACAGTAATTCTTGTCAATATGGACTAAAATCTCTGAGGAATGTTTCCAGCAAATTGTTGAATCTATGCTATGAAGAATTAAGGCAGTTCTGAAGGCAAAAGGGGGTTCAACTCGGTACTACAAGGTGCACCTAATAAAGGGGCCAGTGAATATATATATATATATATATATATATATATGTTTTTTTTTTAATTTCTTCTTTTTTTTAATCAGCAATATTTGTCCGAAGGCATACATGTAGAACTGAACAGGATGTGTCTCAAATAAGACTGTTTTTTTAAAAACTGTTTGGGAAATATTGGATCACTGACGGAAAAGTGATTTATATTTCTTAAAAATGCAGCAGGTTAGATTGTTTACAAAAAAACGGTCTGTAGTGTGCACAATGCAGTTGGATTTAAGCACATTGAGCAGCACTTAAGTGTCTTATTAGGCCCGAGGCACTGAGGCTTTATGTGGCTTGTCCTGGCTGGAATTGTTGGTCTGTCTGTCTTTTAAAACCCAGAATCCTTCCTACTTCTTATCAGTATGTCTAAATCTAATAGAGTGCAGAGTCGGATTTCTCCTCTAAGGCAATGTTGGCTTTGTCTATTGTTTGCCATTACAAGATTTTCGTGACTTCTACATCTTAAATTTCTGTCTTTCTTTTTCCTTCCAGCATCACCCTTTAGGCAAATAATGATGACTTCCACATCCCTGAAACTGCCCAAAAGACTGCTGGAAGCAAAGTGCTCATAGTTACCTTTCCAGCAAACAATTGTCTTTTGATTGTTTTGATTGTTCATCTCACAGCAATGAAAGTTATATCAGTCTCTGTGGGGATTAGCAGCTTGTAGTACCTAAAGGGAGAGATTGCCCACAGCATTTGTGTTTGACAAGTGTCTCCTCTGACTAATTGCAAGAGTGATAGATCATTAAAGACAAACCATAGTGTAATTTCAATGATTGTCTTTTGATTTGTATTTAGATTTCTGATAAATTATCCTATGGTATTTTATATTGTTTTATTTTATTTTATAGATGTAAAAACATTCTCTCTCTAGTAGCTATCAGTCAGAGAAAAAAACAATCTTTGATGAACTAATGTTGAAATAAATCTAATTACAATTTGAATAATGGGCATGATAGCGAGGCACTATCTCATTGTAGATCTGTCTCTTTAAGTTTATGGTATATCCCTATAAGTATCAACAATGTATATTTAACACCACTACTCTCCAGGATGAAATATATGTGTATACTCTGAAAGGTGGTGACATGCATAAAGGGATGCATGTCAAATCCATTATGCAATAGAATTATTGTTGGGTGCAAAGTAAAAGAATCAATGGAAAAATCTTCTCAAACTGTAACAGGAATGATAGAGAGGCACAGTAGCCTACTAAGTCCCTTATGTGCATGTTATGGAAATACTATACTGACACCATTTCCAAAGAATAAAATCAGCCTTATTGTTTATCACAAGGGCATACAAGATAGCTTCTTCCAACATCTTTTTCCCTCTTGGAGTTTAAAGTGATACAAAAGGTTTTTTTTTTTTTTTTTTTAAACAAGCATGTCATACTTACCTGCTTTATGCAATGGCTTTGCACAGAGCAGCCCCGATCCTCTTCTTCTAGAGTCCCCTTCCAGCTCTTCTGGCTTTCCTCCTTGTCCAGTGCCCCTAATAGCAAACTGCTTTCTATGGGGGCACTGGTACGTGTTCACTCCCAAACTTCGCTCTATGTGTCGATAAGACACATAGAGCCCCGTCTCGACCCTACCCTCATTATCTCCTCATTGGCTTACTGGCTATGATTGACAGCAGTAGGGGTGGGGTGAATGGCTCCCGCTGCTGTGTCTCAACCAATGAGGAGAGAGAGACGCGGGATAGCCGGGACTCCCATGCACATCACTGGATCAAGAAGGGGCTCCGGAGAGAATTGGGGGGGGGGGGCGGCAGTAAGGGGAGAAGCACAGAGGTTTTTGTACTGTCATGCATAGAATGCATGACGGTAAAATACCTTCATCCTTAACAACCACTTTAATCATGGAGCAAGATGACAAGGGGGAGGAAAAATGATATAAACACTCTCCATGTTGATAATAATTTAGTACTTAAAGGTATATTAACCTTTCATTGATTCCATTAATATCATTCCAGTTTATTAAACATTTCTTGTATGCATGTACCTCACCCCCCCCACCCCACCGCCACCTTCCTGTTATGCAGGATGTTCATGATATTTTAAAAAATAGTCCAATTTCTTTCACTTTTCTTCAAAACCTTTTCACCTTTACCTAATTACAATATATTCACTATTTTCTTATTATCCCTTTTTAGCAAAAATAAAATTGTAAATAAAAAATGAATCCAAACATCTGAAAAGGGATTTAAAAAGATTAAAAACTGAGAGAATAGGAGGAAACCCAAAAAAAGAGGAAGAGGGAGAAGGGGGGCATAAGGGGGCAGAAAAAAATAAAAGAGAAGAGGAAGGGAAATGAAGACGGGGAGAAGAAGGGAAAAACAGAGGAAAAAAAATGAAAAGATTTTTATCTATTTATGGATATAATTATATTTTTGGTAATGATATGAATATTCCAGCATCACTTAGAGATTAGTATACTTTTAAGCACTAAGCAATAATCAACATAGAGAGGGTATACATATCTTTTCCTCCCTCTCATCCTCTTGCTTTATGAATATGTCCCAGTCAAGGATGAAACTCATTAGAGGAGGACCCTGGGTGGACTGTCTGCGCTTATATAAAGTTTATTTTATCCTTAGGAAGTCATGTGCAGCTCTAGTGCTTTGCTGAATTATGTGTGGGATGAATGGACCCCAGAGGAGTGAGCATTGGCAAGCTGAGGGTTGCATAGGTCTTAGGAGATCCTAGGAGCAGCTTAATCTTTTGTAAATAACATATACTGACAAACCGATTGTAAACATTCACATCATTTAGATTTTTACAGAGAAAGTCAAGGGCTGGCCTGCCCACCCTAGTTTCTGGCAGCTTCTCATTGTTCACGTATGGCGTTGTATGGAGTTCTCTGTCCAGTTGGAGTTTATGGGAGGGGGCAATGTTTGTACACACATTTATTGACAAGATAAAAGGTTTACTATGTAAGACAACAATGGAGGAACAGACTGTGGTCACGTTTTGTACACAAATAGATGAAAAATCATTAACAAAGATAGTCATAGCTAAGATTTTGTTTTTTGTAGGGCAAAGGGGACCAGAGAATAGAGCTTTCAGAAATACAAATTAAAGTAACATGATATTAATCATTCTATTAGTGAAACCTGTTTTATCTTTGTACTGCAATAATTACTGCACTAATACTTAAAATTACAGTATATAACTTTGATCAGTAACTGTAAAAAAATGTAAACCCAACTCCAGGCTGGGCAACCTTTCTCTCCCTCACACCCCCCTTCCATATTTGATTTTACAAAATGTTTAATATACATAACTTTTCTCCAAATTCCTTCTGCCAGTCTGGCAAGAGGGGTCCTGTCCTTAATACTGCAGAGAACAGTGCTCACATTATGATGTCTTGGTTGTTTTCTTCAGCTCCGTGACAAAGTCAAGTGACGAAGCACGTGGGGTGGGGCATCTGGAGGTGACGTCACTGCGTTCAGTGAGCTGCATGCATCTGTGTACACAGAAGCAGGCTGTTTTTTGCTGTTCATGTTATTCATGCTAGTGTTGGCTCGGACACAGTAAATGTGAGTGGAAATATACTATGTGTTTTTATGAATAAATTGTTTATACAGTTTTACGCTATGAGTCTTTCCTATCTTACTTCCTGAGCCCATTACAAGACTGAGAAGAATCTAGTGCCATTTGAATGATCCCACATATGCTGGTTATCCATCTGCAGATCATTGCTCCCAGAGCAGAAGCGTTTGTGCTGGTTTAGAATCTGACCAGAATATTGCTCTGGTGGGTTTAACCAATCTATCTGGTGGTGGATTTGTGCACTGTGATCTGTATGTTTTTTTCACATGAAGTTTTAACATTGAAGACAAAAGCACTTATACATATATTTTTATCATGGTGTTTTGAACACTTTATATTTATATTTACATTTTTGGCTTATTGAATAAGTTTGAAAAAGACACATTTGCTGGATATAATTTATTTCTTGAGATAGATATGCAATATTGATTTATATACACTTTTTTTAAGGATTTCATTTATTTTTTCATCAGCACTTTGAGATTATATTAAGGAGGAGCCTTTTTTGCTGTTTTCTGCAGCATTATACTGTGACCCCAAGCTGGCATGATGACGCACCCCCTGAGGCTGTATCTATGCAGCCTGATGTCACGGGAAGTCAAATAATCAATGCTGGGTATCAATTAACCCCAGAGAGAAAAGGACAGGTTATGAGAATGAAGGTTTTCTATCTACCCTTGTCGTTTTCTTCAGGCAACCTGTAGTTTGTGGATCTGCTGGGTCCTACCCAGAGCACTGCTTTCTGCACAGGCTATGCGCATCCAATTTTGTGTGTTTAAACATGACCAATATAAAACTGTAATATAGCATAGCAATTATACAGTATATTCTACATCATTATAAAAAAAAAAAAGAAAATATTACTGAGTTCCCCTTTATATAAAGTTTGCTAAAGCTGGATAGAAAATCAGATAGTTCAGCAAGGACCAGAATTTTTATAGGCGTTGCTCTAATGATCAGCTTCTTTTGAATGGGAATGTTGGAATATATTTGCTCGATCAGGGCTGCAGCCAATTCGCTGCAGTGCTGGTCAGTGTGTATTCTGACAGCAGAGGAGTCCCAGCTACCTGAATACAATAACCTAGTAGGAAGGATTCCTTCATCCACCCTGCTTGGGTGTATGGGGAAATACATCAGATTTCTTTTTATAGGCCAAATAAAAAAAAGGAAAAAACAAAAACGATCCATCTATGGCCAGCCTAAATCTCTGGCTTTGCCAAGAGATGTTCTGACCAGGGGCGGACTGACCATTTGGAAACTCGGGCACTGCCCGAGGGCCCGGGGTCAGTAGGGGGCCCCATGAGATGCCCCTGGTACCTTTTTCATAGGCTTTTTTGAGTTTGGGCAAGGACACAGGGGCCCCATGATCCTCTATTGCCCGGGGGCCCCATGAGTTGTCAGTCCACCCCTGGTTCTGACATCATCAATGCTCCTCTAAAAATGTACATGTTAAGTGCAATATGTAGTTCAATACATGCTCCAAAGACAGCCATTATCTTTTATAGCCAGGCTCAGTGCATGCTTATGCAATGCCAGAAGAAATAAACATGGCTCCGGGTAGGCTGTGGCAGTAAAAGGGTATATGTTTCTGTAGTGTACAAATTTGGTGAGTAGAGTAGGGGGTTGGGGTACAGAGTTTTTTTGTTTAAAATAGCAATTAACAATTAAGTATAAGAAGTATAGCAGGGAGTAGAAAATGTCAAAGTCTTTTTAGCAGACACAGCTTTGAATGTAAAGACTCAGTGAGGTACTTTGATTTCTAATTTCTAATTTTTTATTTTTTACTTACATATATTTTCTGAATTATGGAATCATTTTACATTTATATTTTGTCCTTATATTTATATTACTGTCTATTTTAGCATTGTACATGTATTGGACTACTGTCTAGATAGAGCAGACGACTCCCCCCTCTTTTTACCACTGTTTTTTATAATTTTTTATACATTTTTTGATCACTCATAGGCTGCTTTGGTTTTATATGAATTTTTTAGTAGTACGATGATAGCCGCTATATTGGCTGTCCTCGGTTATCTTATTTACTTACCTATATAACACTTATCAATGTCATTATTGGTAACTATAACAATATTTTTGTCCCAATACCTACTAATTTATTTAAGTTTGCAATAGTGTACGAGCTGCCTGCACTATCTACGCAGGACCCACGGAAGCTGGCGCACGTGCATTTCGCGTTGATCTCCGGCAAGATGGCGCCCGCTAATTGCGCTTGCAATTTCGGGCTATTTAAGGGCAAAATAATGGCTGAGCGGGACTCTCGTCGATCTGTGTGGGTGTCATATGATGTCCTTCCGGATCGTGCCTCACGCATGCCTGCAGGGCCGTGCTGTGGCGAGATCAGTCACTGGCTGTGTACCTCGGACACAGCCAAAGACAGATCTGTGTATCGGTCCATTGCCAGTTCCATGTGACCGCTGTGACCAATCACAGCAGGTCACATGACAATTGTAAACAATGCATGGCTTCCTTTCATACCATCCATTGTATACAATTATGTCACTAGCTTTGATTGGTCACAGTGATCACATGTACAGACTAGGCCAATCACAGCCCATCTGTGTCATGTGATTATCGATCAATGTCATTCAGTCCTTGCTTTCTTATATCAAATAAATTATTTGCTATAAGCAATCATAATGTGTAAAAAAAAAAATTAAAAATGGATGACTTCCCCAGAGTAGTACAATGTTACTATGGTAGCATTATACTACTCTGGTAACAGTGTGTTATGAAAAAAAAAATCGTAAAAAAAAAAAGAAAAAAGTAATAAAAAATAAAAAAGTATTAAAAAATTAAAACATTTTTAAAAAAATATATTTTTTTGTGTATTTTCACCAGTAGGTGTCCCTGATCACCACAACACCAGTTATATGATGTCTCTGTACTGCACTGGTGATGGTATGTAAAAAAAAAAAAAAATGTGAATTTTATTTTTTCATTTCCTAATTTTCCCAAAAATTATGATAAAAAAAATTACAACTTCAAAAAATTTGCCATGCTTCTTACTAAATAACTCAGACTGTCTATTTTGAAAAAAAGGGTCAATTGGAGGATATCTGTACTGTCCTGACATTTTTAGGTCTCAAGAAAGTAGATTGGCTGTCAGTACTTCAGGTATATACCATAGTTTGTGAACTCTATAACTTTCCTACAGACTAAATAATAAATACTGGGTTATTTTCACCAAGCAAATGTAGCAGAATACATCTTGGCCTAAATGTATGAAGAACAATTTTTTATTTGCAAAATCTTATAACAGAAATGAAGAAAAACTTGTTTTGTTTTTCAAAATTTGGGTCTTTTTTTTGTTAATTTAGCAAAACATAAAAAACCCAGTGGTGATTAAATACCTTCAAAAGAAAGCTCTAGTTATGTGAACAAAATGATAAAAATTCAGTTTGGGTACAGTATTGCATGGCTGCGCAATTGTCATTCAAAGTGTGAGAGAGCTGAAAGCTGAAAATTGTCCTGGGCAGGAAGGGGGGTAAAAATGCTTGGTATTGAAGTGGTTAATGTAAAAAATAAAATTTGTAAAAGTCTAACTCTGGGCTTGGACCCCCCCCCCCCCCATTTGACCTTTTTCAACTTTGAAGCACCCCTGCATTCTTAAAAAAATCAATATACATTCTGGTGACACCACAGGTCCTCTTCAGCCTCCAAAAGGCTAGCCTCTTCTCTATGTTTGCAGCTACTGCCTTACATTAAAACCAATAAATAGATAAATAAAATATTTAATGCATTATGTGAAGACCCTTTTATATATATGTCTAAAGAACAAGGGAAACGACATAGAAAAATTGTCCTTGAGTTTGCATATAAAAAACAATATTTTTGCTTTATCTAAGTAGAGGTCGACCATGGAAAAAATTATAACAGTAATATTGTCAGACAAGAGCTCTGTTTACAGTTTTGGTATTCTATGAAATAACTATTTCATTTAGCTCCACATAGAAAAAGTCAAACTTGAAAACCAAATTAGCAATTTAACAAAATCAAAAAAGGCTACTGACATTTTCCTTTTTAATTTTTTATTTTCATTTCAATGAAATTAGGTCACATTTTTCTCACTATCTTAACTTGTGCTCTTTTATGAGTCCTTTTGATGTAAATGGTTAAACGCACTGAATATCTAAACTTTCAGCATTTTTCTGCCATGTGTTTTTAATTCTTTTTAAGAAAAGGTAGCTAATGGATTCTGATTCTCAGCTTATTTATACAATGATGACATGTTTTAAATTTATAATACCTTTAAATAAATGTAAAATGCCTCTTTGCTTTACAAAACGAATAATTAAAAAAAAAAATCCACTGATCAGTGATGTCTTAATCAGTTTTCAAAATAATAAACCATTTAATTTATAAACCTTGTATAACAAGGATTGCTTTTAGAGATGGAATATATCTATAAAACTAACTTCTATAACACAATTCTAGAACATCATTTAATAATAATAAATGAAAAGATATATATATATATATATATATATATATAGAGAGAGAGAGAGAGAGAGAGAGAGAGAGAGAGAGAGAGAGAATATTGATAGAAAAAAAGAGAGACAGAGAGAGAGAGGACTCTACAACAAATCAGTTGAAACTCAGTTGCTTAAATTATCGTTTATAAAAACAATATTTAATTTATAAATGTGTTAAAAATTATATATTTAGTATTTAATATTTAACTGATTCTTAATCAAATGTATGACATATGTTAATTATATTATGTGTAATTCTATCTCCTTGTGTTGCAACATTTACGTTTTATGCATGCTTTTCTAAAGTGAACTGTGTGCTACTTTTTTTTGTGTTAATGCCACAACAGTCAGACTGCTGAAAAAAATCCCCTCTACAAAGTCAAAACCTGAATCATTATATGTATCTGTCCTGTTATTGACCTCGACTTTGACCTTCTTGGACCACCCTCACCAGCAGTGTGAGAGGTAATAAAGTCCCCTAGCATGCTGAAGCAAGAGCCTAAGCTCAGTAAAAACTATTAATCATGGGAAATTAAGCGGAGTTGGTTTATGATGTAGACATTTACTAGCAGCTCAACTCAGACCACATTTTTCAAAGCTTGAGGATGAACTAGTACTAAGGCATGGGATAAATGAAGGCCTGTAATCATTTCATGTCTTGGTTTAACATTCCCTAAGCTTCTTGTGCGCCATTGTAAACATTAAAAAACTGTGTTTTACATGAAAAGTAGTGATTAAAATAAAAGCAAAGTTTATTTTTTTAAAAATGTTGACCGTATTTGAAAAAGAGTTGCTTAAAGTGTATGTAAATAAAAAACAAACAAATAAATAAATACAAATTGTAGCTTATCTTTATTCACATATGCTACGATACTTTTGTCATACAGGCAGTTTTCACCTTTTGATCCTGCCACTTAGGAATGCCCTGCCCTAGGGTAAAAATGCTTTCTTACTGTGCGCATATCCAAGAGCAGCAATGTCACACTAGAAGAGCAATCTGGCTGTGGCTATATGGCTTGCACTGCAAACCTGTAAGTTCAGGCGGGCTGCCATTCAAATGTTTTCAATCATAACTTTTTCTGTTTTAAAAAAAAGAACTTTGTTTTGAAAAAAAAAAAAAAAAAACACCTCTTCCACACATTACACGAACTAGGGCATGCACAGGCTAGGAGGCAATTGGATTTAGCAGCTGAGATGTGTAGAGAACTGAAATTAAACAACAAAACTGTAAGTTAAGGTAAAATCAATTGAAGAAAAAAAAAACACTAAGGTCTTGGTTAACTAATTATATTACATTATATCATAAGAATATTTTTTTAAACTTGGATTTAGATATAGTTTAAGCTTCAAACTGTGTTTTAGTCTAATGCCCCTTGGCTCCCCTGTCATGGTTTTGTGAAGGAAAATAAAAAAAGAAAAACTGGTAAGAGATGAAAGACAAATGGAGAGCAGAGTGAGATAGCAAAATAACTGTTGCTGCCTATAAACAAAATTATCATTTGGCAAAAAAGGGGAAAATGAACAAAAAAAAATGTATCAAGATATCAGGAAATTATGATGACTCCAAAGACATCCTAGTAGGTTAATTGGTTCCTGTCTAAAATTGGCCCTAGTATGTGTATGTATGGATGTAAGTTAGGGACCTTACATTTTACACCCCTTGATGGTTAGGGACTGATGTACATGTACAATATATATACTGTATGTAAAGCGCTGTGTAAATTGACAGCACTGTATAAGTACCTGTAATAAAAATAATAATAAAATAATGAAGAAAATGGTATTAATAATAGTGAACAGCTGTAATATTTTTATTAAGAAAACATTGATAATAATTAAGTGTTCCTCAAAGTGCATGTATGGACAAACAGCTTAAAGCTGAAGTCCAGGAAACCAAAATTCCTCTCTT